GTCCTGAATTTTCAAACTGATCCAACACGTGACATCCGAGCTTCAGACTTCTGAAAATGGTCAAAAATGCCGAAAAACAAATGAAAAATATATTTTTCTAATATCTCTTTCGCCGTCGTTTCTCAATTTTCGCCTAACTCGTGTCAGAAATTGTCTTAAATCATAAACTTTAATCTTGAAACGATAATTTTGAAAAGTAGATGTGAAAAAATACGAAAGAGCTTCATCAGCTTCCCTATCCCAGCATTTTTTTCTCCTTATTTTCTCGCTCTAATTGAGTTTGAATCTCATAAAATTGAGTTAGAATAGCAACATAAAGAGAAGAATGGTCCCCCTCATTCATCCTCAAAACATGTAGTGACTAATCAAAGTCTTCCCTATTAATAAATATGTATATTCTCCCCTTACATCTCTTTGCTTATCATCACCAACTTGTTTCCTTTGCCACATCTATCAGTCTCTTTTATTACCCCAAGGCATTCACTCTCTAAGTGACTGTTTCTTTACTGATAGTAAACATGGCCGATTGGGTCCTATCGGAGGGTGGCACACCCAAAATTGGACGGCTGCCGGGAATGCTGATAGTTGGAAACTTTGAAGAGAGAGAGAGAGAGAGAGAGAGAGCGTAGAATAGAGAAAAAAGAACGTTTACGTTGAAGAGTTTCATTTGTATGGAGTGGCACAGGCCGGCTCCAGTGTACAGTACCTGATTCATCTTGATCATTCATCTCATAGTACCATTTTTTCCACTTCCTTGTGCTCTATGAGCCCTCTAGTACATATAAAGTGGCTGAAATCATCTTGCTCCTATTTTTGGATCTTATGACAACATGAACTTAGTTAATATGGGGGTATATACATTTCACAGCTAGAGATCTCGAGAAAAAAACCACAAGCTTCAGAAACTTGAGCATTGAAACAACGATTTTTGATCAATCAATTCTCTCATTGTGTGCAGATTTGAAAATGTTTCAAATCTCTTTTCCCATCCCCATTTCAACATCCATTCCGTTTTTTACATCTCTGGCTCTCCTCATTGAATATTCATATACCGTCACATAAAATTTAGCGCGTTCTCTTTGTTCTATAATAGCATATTTTATGGATTTCAATGCCGAGAGAGGCGGAGCCACAAGAGGGGTTTTTGATCACTCGAAACTTTTCTATAAAAGGAGAGTTGATCTGTTCCCTTTTTCATTGTTCTCCGTTTCTGATATTTGTTTCCAAATTTCGTCATTTTTTCAAATCGGGTCTGATATGGGAATGCCAACTCCAGATTTTGATCAATATGTTAAAATAGTTTAAGAACGTCTATCTAGACATTTTTAAAAATTTTAAAATCGATAGTTTCAGCCGAGTTTTATTAGTTTCAGTATCGAGAATTGCATTCTTAGTTCTAAAACAGCATTTTCAAAGATTTTTCAATTTTTAGGACGTTTGAGCACGTGAAATTTGCTGTGTCACATCCTGAATTGATTGAAATCACATATTTCAGACACTTTTCTGATTTTTTGTGTCTCGAAAGTTTTGAAATCTAAATAATAGAAAATTCGAAAACTGAGAAAAATTATTTTTCAAGAAAATGTCAGAAATATAAATATTTGTTCAATTTTGAGCATGATGCATTAATTTTCTGAATTTTATATTCTGAAACGTCCCAGAAATTGAAAAAAAAATCGACTTTGAAAATCGCTCTTTTGCCCTGAAAACGAGAAAAAAGTTTTGCTACTGAAACTGATATAACTCGGCTGAGACTACCAGACGCTTTCTAAAAGCTTCAGAGGTGTCTAGGTAGAACGTTCTTCACCTATTCCAAAAATTTCATAAAAATCTAGGCTCACAAAGTGATCAGTTTCGTTTGCAAGATTGTATCTACACATCGCCGGGACCATAGAAACAACTAGCAGGTGAAAAAAAGCGGCCCTCCCTGCAATTACGTGTTTCCCTCTTCCCCTCCTCCTCTCTCTCTCTCTCTCCTTATTGGAAAGGTCGTTACAACGTGGCAAGGGCAAATACGCTCTAGCGCACTAGACCCGCCGATTATTTGGTGGCCACCCTTTACCGCATTGTTCTGCGCTCAGTTCAGTTTTCCTGATGGTCCGAAATCGGCTTGCTATTATTCGTTATAGATTTGTGTCCGCGTTGAACAGTTGGTAAATCATTTTATAAGAAAAATTAATAAAAGTAGGAGGGAAAAAAAGAAAAATGTGAAAAAATGATGACGAATTGTAGAAAAATTAGAAAATTAGCATTGTCAAAAGGACTCTTAGACTAGTTTTGAAAAAAACTGAAAAAGATAACGTTATTGTTGTCCTGGTCAACCAAAAAACTCACACGGCTCCCCACTCGCCGCAATCTTTTGTGAAATATCCTCCTCTCTCTCTCGTCCGTCCATATGTTTTTTATCCCGGGGAGCTGGAGAAACAGACAAAAATCTTGAACGAGATATCCTATATCTCCTCTTGCTTTGTTGCTCAAAGAGCTCAAGAAAAATATTTGATTTTTATTGATTTATTAGGGTCGAAATTATAGAAACCAACGTTTTCGACAAAGGTCATTTCAATAGATCGCAACTTTTTTCGAGAGAAGAATAGTTTGCTGTTTGATCTGCACCCATGTGCCTTGTCTGAAACCTTCTATTGAATTGTAGACTTAAAAAAAGCGATAGAACTACCAAACAAGATAGAAAATAGGTCTACCATGTGCATATTTGTCTATTGTTGGAAGATTGACAAGTTTCACTCTCACCTGTTTGAAGAGAAGACCTTTTTTCTTCCGTTTTCCTCACTACTTTTCCGAATGACTGATGTGGTATAGTAGGTCTATTATTATTTCTTACCTTTCTCTTTCTCCTCATCGTCATCCTTCCGTATAATGTAGGAAAACGAAACATTCCTTCGTTTTGTCTTAAATCGGATTATCGATTGATTTTCATTTGTTTGAGAGCGGGATCAGTGTGAGGTGAGGCTGACGTTGCGAGGGGTGTATGTTTGTTTCGGTGAGAAAGAAGAAACTCTTCCCGATTTTGCAGAGGTGAAAGAAGCAAAATTTTTGAAATTTCAAATTTTCAAAAATCATGACTCTCTTCGTAATTTTACTAAAATTTGAAAATTTTCAAACTTACAATACCGGTCCATGAGGGATGCAAAACCGAATTTTTCAGTTGATTTTGACCCTTTTCAAGAGTTTGAAGCTTAGCGGTCTAATTTTCTAGATAAAAATTGGTAATCACAGATTTTCAAAAAATTCCTAGTTTTTCAGATATTTGTCAGTTTTTGAGAGACACCTTCCTCACGTTTCAGTACAAAAAGAAGTGTCCTTCAGAAATCGTGAAATAACTGAAAAACTAGACATTTTCAAAAAATTCTATGAACACAAATTTTTCAATCTAGGTCTGTTTCACAACTTCCAAAGTTTTCAAGACATTCGGAAACTTGACAGCCGAGCTCCAGAATATTGAAAATGGTCAAAATGACTGTATATCTTACCGGCCGGTATTGCATTTATGGACGGTTTTGATGTTTCTTCGCTGAAAAAGAAATAACTACAGTAACGATTTATGACTTTAAAAAAAACCAAAAAAAAACCGCATTTCTTGAATTCGTTCTCTCCTAGAAGCCCATTTTATTGCCCAACGCCGAAATTGTCCACCACCGCCACTAAAAGTTTCAAGAACGCTTATTTTCGGTGGTTTTTCCGCTCCATAGAAAAGGACGGGCCGGTCGCCCCGCAGCACTCTTCCAACCACATACAAAGCCTACCAAAGACACACACACAAATCCATCGGCCCCCGATTTGTTTTTTTGGGTCGTTCGCTTCTCCTCCAGCTTCTTCTCCTTTTCGTCATTTTTCCATTATGCCCTTCTGTTATGAATACCTTTCATCATTATCAGTTTTCCACACCCATTCGTTCACTCCATATATGACGTGGAGCAACACACCGGGGCTGCGAATGGAAATGTTTATATGGGAGGAGAGTTGTTATGTGACGATGACTGTGTGTCAACAGATAGCGAATAACGCTTCAAAAACTTTTTTTCTCACCTTTGATTTCGTTTTTTTTTCAATTTTTTGAGGACACAAAGTTTATGTGTTTTTTTGAAAGAAAAGAGAGTGGTTACGAAATTGGATCGGATCGTTTTTTTCTATGAAAAATGTTTTTTATAGAGAAGGCCTTTTCTGATTATTCGGAACTCCTGAAAAACTTTGAATACTGCCCACTTTCTTTTGAATATTGCACACTTTGCGCACGCCGGAACCAATTTTCGAAAGCTTCTAGAAGCACTCACTTTGAGCCCAAAATTTGCGGGTTGGAAGAAGAAAGTCAAGAAATATCATTTAGAGAAGCTGTTTTCTGCCATTCAGGACATCTCTTTAAAGCGGAAACTTGGTTTTTCTCCCGCAGGTGATTCTGTTCCGAAACGCCTACTCATACTTTGCCGTTTCTCGTCTTCCTGTCCTTCTACGTCTTCTTCTCCATTTTCAAGATCTCTTCTTCTTGTTCTTCTTCTCCTTCTACATCCCATTTTTCACTTTTCTGACACGTCCTCTTCTTTCTTCTCCCACTCACTTTTTGAAAATTCAATTTACCATTCCCAATTTTTTTTTCTTCTTTGAAAGAAAAGAGTTCACTACTTATTCTCATTTATTTCATTTCCCATTTCCAGTAAACACCACATAGTTTTATATGGGAGTCTGAAGGTGTTGGTGGGAGCTCTAAAATGTCGAAGCTGGTAGCTGAGCCCGATTCGACGGCTACTGATCGATCAGTGCGATCTGTGTTCGGCAACTTTCGTCAGCTGTTCAGTAGTTGCAGTTTTATGCGGAGAAAAAGCAGTGGTGTTCCGGTTGACGACAAAATACAGCAACAACTGCATCAGCTAGCTGCTGCTGAAAATGAAGAGTACTGAAATAAAAACTAGGGGGAACTTTGGGAAGGGACAGGGGTCTAAATTCATTACAAAAATCAAAAATTATCCCATTAATTACTAAATTTTCAGCCGTTCCCGTCGGAGTAAAGAGCGAACTGCAACAACGGCAACCACAGGAACGGCAGTTGCAAACGCTGCCGAACGAATGTCAAAACGTGTCGCATCAGCATCATTGGCAATCCGACCACAGACAAAGTCATCAGATTTGATGTGCGTATGTGATTCGATTGATGGAAATGTGAGTTGAAATGAAAGAAACGTTTACGGGAAAATAAAAAAAAACTAAAAAAAAAACAAGCTGTTCAATTATGAAAAACAATTCCTAAAGGCTTTGAAATTTTTATACGGTGTAAAACAGACCTAGATGTAAAACAGAATTTCAAAATTCAAAATTTGGCTTCATTTCTAACTGAAAATCATCTATCTAGCTCAAAGACTAACAAAGTTACGATGGTTTGAAAAAATAGAAAAATTGGAGACTCAATTTTTTCGACGACCAACTAGTTTTTGAGCTATTCAAATAAATTTTTGATAGAAAAAGCTGAAAATTTGAACTTTTTTTGAATATCAGTATTCTAAGGAAATATTCGCCGATATCTGAAGGGCATCTCTTTCCGGCCCGTTTTGAGTACAGAAAACGTGAAAAACAGGTATCTTTCAGAAATCGGCAACTAGCTGAAAAACTAAGAACTTTCAAATTTTTCTGAGAATGCAAAATTTTCAATCTAGGACTGTTTTATATTCTCCATAGTTTTCAAAGTGGGCGAAAAATTGACAGTCAAGCTCCAACCGCCTTAAAATAACCAGAATCAATCGAAAAACACATTTTTGTTTATCTTTCTGAATGTTACTGTAGATACTGACTGGTTGAAAAGATTCATTAAACGATCAATACGAAAACTATAGGCTTACAATCTCTTTAGAATCTTTCAAATTTATTGTTTATATTCTTTAGACCATCACCAAATTCACCAATCTCCCATTCGGAATCGAGAAGCGTGAATGGATTGCTCACAATGTGTTGGGACTCTTTGAGCACGTCAACGCCCTGTGTGGAACTTTGACAGAAGTGTGCACCCTACAATCATGCCCTCACATGAGCTTCCCCGGAACCAGCAAGGCCATCTACCAAGACGAGCGAGGAAAGCGTCAAGTCTACCCGGCAATGCAGTACATTGACTGCGTAATAACACAGTGCGAGACGATGAGCCGACAAGAAGAAATATTCCCAACGAAATATGGTGAGTTCTGGACCAGAACTTTGTGGTTTCTTGCAAGAGAAAAGGAATTCAAGAATTGTAAGCAGCTGAAATTCATACAATATTTTCCAGGAAACAAGTTCAACGACAACTTCGAACCAGCTGTTAAGAAAATGCTGGCTCACTTGTTCCACTGTATGGGTCATATGTATCAAAATCATTGGGATGTGCTTGGAGCCCTCCAGCTTCGTCCACAATGTGCTATGGTGTTTGCGCATATCGCTGAAATTGGAAGAATCTTTAATTTGCTCGATACAAAGGAGCAGGATATTGTTGAAGACCTTGTTATTGAGGTGAGATTTAGAATATTTTCTAGAAAGCCATACAGGCGTCTCTACAGTAACCAGAAACAAGAAACGACTGTTCAAAGACCAGTCCAGACACACCCTTCTCCCTAATTATACCAATTACCAACTATTACCTGACGTTGTGTCTTGTGAGATGTCGTTTCCGCAGTATATGGGAATTTTGAGAAGTTTGACCTGGGTATAATTGATAAGTTAAATAGGGAATGGTTCCAATGGTTCAAATGGTTCTAAAAAAAATTGAAAAATATAATCCAGTTTATTGAAAATAGTATATATTACATGAAAGTGTGACAACCTGTTAAGTCGTCAAAAAAACACAGAATTTAAAAAATTATAACAAGAATCCAAAAATTGGAATTTCAAGGTTTTTCCAGTTGGATCTTTTATGGAATTAAGACCCTTAGAAGAATTTAGGCCTCAAAAATAGTTAAACCCCCAAAGAATTTTTGGTAGTTAATGATAAATTTGGCCCTGAAAAAATTTTGCTCTTATAAAATATTCGTCCAGAAAAATAGTTGGAAAAAGTGAAACCTTTTTCACTGTTTACGCAAAAATCTCTCATCTCTTTTAATTTCCCATATTTCAGCTCCGCCCAATCTTGCCAGTTCTCACACAAACTTTATCATTGGATCACGGTGATCTTCCACACGACGCTGATCGCGCCATTCGGGTTCCATCGTCGAAAAGCGGTAGCTGGGGAGGATACCCATCACCGGCAGTGCTATCATGCAAGGCTTATGCTCAGACATGCTAAATTTTGATTCATGATTTTGTGAAAATGTACACTTTGCATGCCTATGTCTATCCGCTTTTCGTTTTCATTCAACTGTCAAGTTTTGTCTCGAATTTTGTGAATTTTCTGTCTTTTCCCCCTCCCTCCCATCTGCAATTCTTACGTGTTCAACTATCCCACCAGAAGAAAAAATTTCTAGCCTCCTAATCCCTTGGTAATTGGTCCACACCTCAGACCCCCCCCCCCCCCCGTTCCTTCTTCTTAACCACCCTAAAAGTTGTGATTCCCGTTTATGAAATCTCCCTGATTTCTAACTTTAGACATCCTGGGTCAAATGTGTTTTCTCTTAGAATGATAGATACCAATGCATCCTTTTTCTCATCCCCGGAAAAACTATTTCATTCCTTTCCTTTTTCTGTTCCAGCCTACCCATTTTTTCTCCAACAGATTCATTTTTGATCATTCTGATTCCTATTTCTCAGAATACATACTAGTTCCTTTCATCCCAACAACTCTCCAACAACACCATTTTTCTTTTACGTGTCTCTCCCCTCATTTTTGTGTAAATTCGGTATTCATTTCGTTCTCATCACCCAAATATGAATGAAATACATTTGGTCATTTTTTGAAGTTTTATTACGTGAGACGAAGATCAGAATAAGCACGGTAGAATTACAATGTGGGCGAAAAAGGGAATTAGATCTAATGAAAAGTATACTGTGAGGGGTCGGAAAGCAGAGAGGTTCAAGATCAGAAAAAATTCTAAATCAGACATTATACATCATCAAGTTATGTCAACCTTTCAGTTATGGCATTTACAAGAAAAATGAAGGTCGTTATAAAATTATTAATTAATGCAGAGCGACGAAACAGGTACGGTCCGACCGCCGACCGGCTCCAGAACATTATTTGTTTCAATGTTTTCTAATATGTTTTTTTTCTGATAGAACACATTTTGAAATTCAAAAAATTCCAAATTTGAACTTTTTCGGATAAAAACAAGTTGTTGAATATTTCGAATTTTAGATTGTACTTTATCAAAAGAATGGAGCCTTTTTGTGAGAGCTTATTAGCATGAGGTGCATTCGAATCAATCTTTGGTAAATTATGAAACTGAAAATCTTAAGATTGGGAAATTACGCTCAGTCAAAAAGCAGATAACTAGTAAAAGAAAATTTGCTAAAAATGAATTTATGAAGCAAGAGAGCAGATTTTTTTTCTAGTGGCGGAATTTGGATTTTTTGGGCTGTTAATCTATCTCGACAGAATTATTTAGACCTTGATGAACAAGTTTTCAAAGTTGCGTGGGTGGAATGGATCTGGAATCACGGAGAAATCGTTCCAGTTGTCCAGTGCCAAGACATGCATGTCGCGCTGAAAAAAATCACTAATTTCTTCGAATTTGTTCAAAACTTACCATACGAATCAGTTTGTACAAGTGGCTAGACATCATTTTTTCGGCTGTCTTCAAATAGTTGCGGTTCTTGTTGTGCCAGACACGGTAGGTGTTCAGCATGAACTTGTGTTGCTTTGATGTTCTGAGATATTATGGTGGGGCGGTGAAAAGAGTGGGAACAACTCACTTTTCTAAATCTTTGCGTCCTTCGTTGTTAACCTTGTTGGCCAAGTTTTGATCGCTTAACTCTACTTCTGGGAGTTGAAGGTCGAGTATCTGGAAAGTCAAGGGACATTCAAGGTACAGCAAGCACAAACTTTTGGTTCTTACATGCATTATTTCGTGGACGCATTGCTTGGTGAAATCCATCCGTTTGATTTCATGCTCCAGAATGCGAATAGACGAGCGGAAGAGTCTAGCAAAGTTGAATCTTGGGTCGGTAATGATTTGGTGAACGTAGTCCCCGTTTTCTGCAGTGATCCGACCGTACGGATCAAGGTCAAAGTGATGGATGACACGGTCTGTAAGGAATTTACTAGAAAAATGGAATTTTCATCATGATTATTACTTCTGCAACTCTTGTAGATACCCATTGTACAGTTGTAGAGAAACTGCATGACTACGATCGTTCGAAAAAGGCTGCTCTTAATGAACATCATGTGATTGTCCATCTCTTTTGCCTAAAATTTGTGGACCGTCTTTCAAACGAATGCTCAAATCGCCTTACGTTATCTTGGAACATATCGCACCAGTCACCGTTTGCGCTACGGAGAACTCCGGAGAGAGTGTCTTGTTCGATGAATAACGACTCCAGCTCCTTTAAAGGAGCCTGTTTCTGGATTCCATCAATCAAGTTGTCACAGAATTCCGCGATTTCACAGCCGAAATTGCATGAAGCGCGAGCCTGGAATATTTATATCAGCGGAACGGCGTTCAAACCAAGTTTTTTCTTTGGAGTACTACCGTGAGCACTCTGTCAATCCCTTAACGTTCAATTATGAGCCAATTTATCTTGATTCCTGTGAAAGGTATCAAATTGTGAAAGGTATCAAATATTGATTTGATATTTTGAAATGTTACTTTGAAATGTATTAGGTTGGAAGGAAATTAACTGTCCATCTTTTAATCGTGAATAACACAAAAACAAGAATCATCCAAGATTGACAGTATGCACCGTCGTAGTCCACGACATGCTGGCAACATTCAGGCAACTTGTGGATACCATACCTCCAAAAGCAAGCTGGCCGCAAATTAAAGTATTTTTTTTCAGTCCAGTTTTCATCTCATTTACAGTATTCACCTATTTACTTCCAAATGACGTTGCATATTTCCAAATAACCAATAATGAAAGGGCAAAATCCCGAGTTTGAGAAGGCGTGAAGAAGATCCGTCCAGCTAAAGCGGCCCAGGTCTTACTTGACTTCCCGTGGAACATAGGACCGATGAAACCTATGTTAAACAACAGTACACAGGCTAACTAGAAAACCTAGAAATTATAGCGGCCCTCGTGATGGTCTATTCAAATGACGAGACATTTTTGGATTTTTCGTGAGTTCTGAGTCGGTACAGTTCGAGCAATCACAACTTTGTTCATTTTTGTGGTAGACGTTCAAACTTTTTTTTATTCGAAAGGTGACAAATTGATAATAATTATTGCCATTTGCAGCTATGCTCTATCTTTGAAAGGAAAATCAGGAAAGTAGAAAATATGAAAATTACAAGTCACAATTTAAAAAATGCCGATTTTTGGAATAAAGTGCTCGGGGGACCATGTCTATCAGATTTCTTAGGGCAAGTAACGTATGTGTTCGAATATAGGTCGAGCCCTTGAATTATGAGACTTATTTCGATTTTTTTTAATTTAAAAATTCCTATAAAAATTCATGTAAATTCATACATGAAATTTTTTGAAAACTATTAAAAACAAATAAAAATTGAAAAAAAAACAACAAAATAAAGTTCAGAAACCCAGAAAGAAATCATTCGAAAGCTAAAAAATTGTTCAAAAAATTTCATGTATGAGTTTGAGTACATGAGTTTCATTGAAATCCCAATGTAACATTTGGGATACTTCCCGCGTCAGTCCTACGCCGCTTTGGATACACGGCTCTCCACATTCCTTAAATTTCAGACCTGACCCTTTTATTATTGGTTATCCGGAGATATGCAAAGTCATCTGGGGGGAAAATAACTTTACACTGTCGATGAGATAAAAACTGAAGTTATGCTTTGATTCGTGGCCAACTGGCTTTTGGAGGGATGGTATCCACAAGTTACCTGAATGTTGTCAGCATGCCGTGAACCACGACGGAGCATACTGCCAATCTTGGATTAATCGTTTTTGTCTTATCCACGAATTAAAAAAAATGCAAAGTTACTTTCCTTCCAACCTAATATAATGTCCACAACTTGCTCAAATGTTTGCTGACTAACTAGTTTTTGTTTTGATGAAATTAGATCACATTGTGACAGATACATTTTCACATCAGAAATCCAAGTGGACTTTATTGTTTTCGAAAAGCAAGAGATGATAGTAATGATTCATGAGTTTTTTTGTACAAACTGACTATAAAACCTCAAAATGAATCACCTTACAAACAAGAGCTCAACAAATTGATTTTATTTTATATCTTATCAAATCAAACTCACGCAATAACACTTTTGAAGTTCCCGATCGTACCGATCTTGAAGATTTACCGGCATCCTCAAATCGAGAACTCCTAACCAAAAAGAACCAAAACACCCAATAGAGCACCAAAATCCAAAATTTACACTGAACCAAAACCGTGGGCTGAAAGAAAAAGGTCCGTCAAGATTGACGAGGAAATGTGAAGCTATAGGAAAAATGGAAAATTGCGTAGAAGGCATGAAATTTATAGGACAGAGAAACAAAAACAGAAGAAATGGGCGGGATTTTGCAAATCAGAAAATGTCGAGAAGAATACAATATCCGGAAAGGAAGAACGTGGGCAGTGTCCAATTAAATGAAGCAGGAAAAAACGACATGCATCCTATGACTGACATTTGTTCAATGTGCTCGGGGCTCAATCGTCATGAAACTGTTATTGAGGGTGTAGTATGGAAATGTCTTTGTAGTTTGAAAACAAGAAAATACATAATTTTCGTTGTGGTTGAATTTTATTAAAATCTAAGGAACATGATTGAATGGGAACGTATTGAGGGATCAGTTTGAGTCTTGCAAAAACAGAGAATAAACTTTTCAGATGCATTTCGAAGACATTTCCATTTTTCGGGAAAATCTTTTTTCGAAGCTAGTCTATACGTGCCCTTTGACCTTAATTATCACTATTCCTAAAAGAAATATCAAAAATTTGTCACTAAATAAAATGTTAGTGATATTATGATAACTGAAGTATCAGTGAAACTGTGATTGATATCTTTTGAAAGGACCGAGATAATTGAGCTTAAAGCTCAAGAATAATGTAGGCTTCTATCGAGAACAGGTAAATTATTGTAGAATTTTCGAAACAATATTGAATTGGTAATGAGAAGCATGTCTCAATTTTCACATTGTTACTATTACTGAAATCCAGGAACTTTTTGAATTATCGTTTTTTATGAAGTTATGAAGTTTACGGGAAACTGAACATTACATAATCAGCTTTAGGTATAAAAATCTTCAAAAGGGACTTCCGCCAAATATTTTAGTGCATCATAACTTGTATAAAATAATGAAGCTTTCAAAATAAAACGCATTAAAATAATATTTGATCGGATGTTCCCCTTCAAGATTTTAGGTGGGTTAATCTGCTCAATTTTTGTCTGAGCAATGTCAAGAACTACATTGCCCTCGAACAAGAAGCAGTCTTCAAAAAGTTTAAAATTTTGCACTCTTCAAACAAAAAGGGAACATTACGAAAAAAGTGTTCTGCGCTCTTTTCGACACTTCCTCACATTCTTTTTCTGCTCGCGAGCACTGAAAGAAGACCTTTAGTGTGCATTGGGAGGTCGTGGAGAGTTTTAAAGGGTATCAAAAAGAGAAAAAGGGGAGAATTAGTAGATAAGGATTCCTAAACTTTTGAAAAAAGGAAGATTCTGATGACGTTGTTTTTATTGTGCACCATCTATTTTGGGCTCAGAACAAAAAAATGGCATATGGAAGTTGCATAACGGTTTCAGATGTTCATTATTCATTGTCAAAGTGCGTCACGAGCGTTCTTTTTTGTGTGCTTCTCATTTTTATTCTGATAAGTTTTTTTTTTTTGTGTTCTAGTTTCTACAACACAAAAGAAAAAAAAACAAATGAAAAAATGGAAGTTGGCTAAACCCACCTTATTAGTTTTGTTAAAAGGGGCTCCATTTTGAAACGAAGGACATCGCTTCTTAAAACAGGGGAGAAGTGTGGATGGCGAATAAATAATGAGTTTTCAGAGAGATTCAGCACTAGTGGGAAAAGGAAAGAAAGAAGCACCAAAAAGCAGTGCACGTGAGGAATCCGATTGGACTTTTTTTTCCAAGTAATGTTTATGTGCTGATGCTGTCCGGATGTCCGGAATTATTCTAATAAACTTGCTAAGGGAGGATCTTGCACATTTTCTAAAAAATGTTGGAAATTTGATCACTCCTCATTCCAAAAAGTTTTGTTTTGCAACATAGTTCACCAATTTATAGTTTCTGCAACTAAAGGTCACTAGAAGTATGTTTTCATTAGAAATACCTACTCAGCATTATCGGAAAAGGATTTTATGCTAAAATAGGTATAGTTCGTAACGATGTTTGTGTGTTGAAATGTCTTGATTTGACACCTACTTGTGTTTCTTTGAATGAAAACAAAAAGCGTAATATCTTTTAAGAACTTAAACTCAAAAACAAACTATATGTATTATACTCTTTAGAGATATCTTCACATAATTCTGTGAAAATTTAATTGAAAATTGTTATTGTATAGCAACCATAAATGCAAGAACACCTCAAACGCGCCCTTTGAGCTCAAATATCTCGGTTCCTTCGAAAGATATCAAAAACTTGTTTACTGATGAAATGTTGGTGACATTATGAAGAACTTCTTATTAGTTGACAAATTTTCGATATCTCTGATAGGAACTGAGACAATTGAGCTCAAAGTTTACGTATAGATTGGGCTATTCAAGCTTATACGGTATTTTTACCTGAAAATGAATTACGTCATTCAAAAAATAAAATCAGAATCAGCTCATTCGAAAGTATCAAAACACCGCAAAAAAAATATTTTTTTTAATCCAATAGAACTACACTTCAGCTTTATTCCCAACACAGAAATTAATTTAAAAAAACGAAGAAGCTTAAGAGAATCAATACTAATGTAAGAAGCAGCACGAGATATTCGGAAAAGGAGATTTTTCTGACAATAAAATTGTAGTAAGCCGTCGGAGCCGCTGCTGACTAGAATCAGAAGCGACAACCCCACTAGAAAATCGGTTCGGAAATTCTTCTGACTTTAATTTGTGCCTGAACAGAGCAAAGAGCATGTCTAGAGTCGTTTTTTTTACAAATGACAAGTTTTGATGTTTATGAAAATCCAGAAAAATTTAGCGAAATTGAGACAGTTTTTATATTGAAATGTAGTCTATAAACAATGATGTAAGCTAGAGAGAATTCAGAACTGAAAACATTACAAACCTAGCTTGAAGGAAGTTTTGATAAAAACAAGTTTCGAAACTGGCGGAAGTAGGCATAACACATAATTTAGGGTTTCCAGTTCTTGTTTTTCTGAAAGTTCACTATTGCATGAATGTTTTATAAAGTTTTCGAGATGATTTCATATTTTTTCCTATGAAGAATCCGGAAGCACATTAGATTTTTATGTACTCTGATCATCATGAATAAGATTAATCTTTTTCAACTTGACTGGATACTTCTTGGGAATGAAATAAACTGAATGTCAAGAACTACAAAAATGCCTACCTAGTTCGTGAGTTCGTTTACTGCGCTTTTAAGTTTTAAATTACCTTAAGCATTGAGAGAATGACTCTCTATCTTTCACCTTTGAGCCAATTTATCTCAGTTTTTGTAAGAGATATCAAAAAGTTGTCAACAGATAAAATTTTGCTGCCATTATTTTAAACACTTTGTAAGTTGAGCACTTTTTGATATATTTCAAAGAAAATGAGATATGTGAGGTCAAAGTAGACGGTTTGGATGTTAGAGTGTTCACAGTGTATTTTGTTTGATTATCTGAAACTTTCCATTTTGGCTCTTAACAGTCCATGCATGATAGTTTTTCTCTAGCTTTTCGTGATTTGTTTCTCCTAACATTCATAGAAACTGTTAATTGTAAAATCTGATTTTGCATACCGTATTTACTCTAATAGAAACTCACCCAAACCATCAACTTTTAGGTTTAATTATCTTGTTTCTTGTGAGAAATGTAACAAATTTTTTTAATCAATAAATTATTTATCATAACATCACTAATATTTTATCAGTTGACTAATTTTTTATATCGTTTGTAGAAACCGAGATAAATGAGTTCAACGCGTGTAGACTCCGCTTCTGTCGTAGCAAATACGGTATGATTTCCTTTTTGCAAAACTTGTGGAATACTGTAAATTCCCAAGTTTCCTTATTCATCAAAATTTTATCAAACCCCTTGCTTCATAAATTTTGCTTTCCCACTTTCAAGCTAATATCTAATATCTGGTTATCACCAAATTTTTGTTTTTTCAATGCCCACATTCTTGTTATTCCCAACTTGAGGTGTACCATCCTCCAATTCCAGTTTTCTTTTTCTGAAAAATGCCGCCTAGCGGTGTCTGACAAACCAAATACCACTGCAAAAACAATAACAGTTATTACACCCACACGTCTAGAAGCTGATTGTTTACAGTCTCGGTTCCCGGTACCCTACCGCCAAGTTGTGTTTTCCCCCTCCGTGTTGTTTTCGCCCCCTGACTCTCAGCCGGTACGTTTTTGTTAATTTGGAATGAATTTCCCGCTTTTTTTCAACTCGTTAGTTCCCCTCCAACTCCATTTTTTCCACGTTATTTTTCTATTCAACGTGTGTGTGTGTGTGTGTCTTGTGTGCCAATAGTAAACATGTTTTCGAGAATGTGCCATCGCCATCTCCATTGGTCACCATTAATACCACCACCACCATCATCATCACGTGTTTATACGTGAGCATAGGAGTAGAAATTAGTATGGGTAGCTTAAAGGATGAGAATGTGACGGAGGAAAGGAATTAAAGACAAGAGAGATGAGAGCTTTATACAAGACTTCAATCCGAAGAGTATTATCTACAGATTTGAAAAAGAATTTTGGGAAATGGGGAGATTAGGCATTCTCGAAAAATATAACTATCAAAAGAAGACAGTCTTAAAAGATCTGAAAAGAATTTGAAAAGGAGAATTGAAAGATTTCAGGAATATTGAGAGGGCAAATCTGAAACACATGGCATGAAAAGTAATCAGACATAAAATTCGTGAGAAGAAACTAAAAAAGTTGTTTCTCGAGTTGTAGACATCCTTTTCTGGAAGAAGCAACCAAAGAAATTCCAAATTTTGAGATGACGTGTCAATCTAAAATAGCGTATTTCCACTAATCGGAGCTGACCCAAGCCGTCAAGCTCAATTATCTCAATTTCTGTAAAAGGTATCAAAAACTTATTGACTAATAAAATATAGGGGATATTATGATAAACAGTTGATCAGTTGACAAATTTTTGATAACTTTCACAAAAATGGAGATGAATCAGCTCAGAAGTT